GGGGGTGGAGGGGGTGGGGGTAGTTGATTGGGTGGAATAGGGGAGGGGGCTATCTTTATCATTTCGAATATTGAACCAATAAAAACCAAAAGTACACCCAAAGTAAACTCTCAAAGAAGGGTGAGTAAAAAGGAAAAGACACGCCACACAGAGCAGCCCGGAAATGAACAAACGACGGGGTCTTGCATAGTCCTCACTGATACAAACACATACATACACACTCAAACACACACTCACACACACAGACATACACATACGCACACCTACACACACACACACACACACACACACACACACACACACACACACACACACACACACACACACACAGACACACAACCGCTCGAGTACACACATACACACGTACACACACAGACACACACACACACACATACAACACACACACAATCGTACGAGCACATACACCACCCACTCAGCCCCCGACACATATCCGCACACAAACACACACACACGCAAAGATTTGAATATAATATACAAATCGAAACTCTACTTTCCTTCAGTTCAACTTCTTTATTTTTCACAGTTGCATTCCACGACCACTATACAAAAGATTACAAAGCAAAAAATACCCCTCCACCCTCCCCAACCAGTACCTTAGCTACCACAACGTTGTCGGATGATTTCATCTCTGAACACAAAACGAAAGCGAAATTCCGCTCGAGATGTTCTACAGATTCCAAACTAAACATGTTTCAAAAGAAAACGTTTATTAAGCTCTTTCCCTCTGAGCAGCCATTCCTATCAAATATTGAATGTTCTGATTGTTAAAAAAAATTCTTTACCGTCAGGAAATATTGTACCGAACTACAGAGATGGAACACAAAAAAAAGAACATTATACCGTTCCTCAATACTGCTAATTGCACTGGCTGGCTTCAATTATGACATATTTATTTCAGATTCTGGTCAAAGATATATTCCCCCAGTTTGTAGTTGTTGCCTGTCCCTTTGGTGAAGCTCCTGAGCCTGGTGACGTAGTGAGCAAGTTCATTGATGGAGTTCACCTGCTCCTCCAGGAAATGATGCTCCAGGATATGAGTCAGCTGTGGAGACACAATACATTTTTCGTTCGTTATCTCGCTGGAGAAATATTAGTGCCAGATTTTACATAATTATTATTAGAAGTCATTTAGAGAAAGGAGTGTTCAGATCCATGTCTTGATAGGGAACTGATAGATATGATTATGAACACCCGTCATGTTTGTTCGTATAATACCACATTTTTACCATATAGTCTCTCGAAGTCCAACCCCTCGTCCACGCCGTGGGAGATGGAAACAGGACAAAGAAGGGGATAGCTGGGTCTGGGTGAAGTACGGTGTGACTTTATGTCACTGAGGCGTTACG